TGTGAGGCTGACTACAAAACAGAACATGTATTAGTCCAATTTAACAAAAATAGAGCACAATTTAACTGAAATGTTTTATGTAAGCGTCTTACTTTAAAATTCTGATTACAAACAATGAATAAATATACGATGCAAAAATTATGGATTTCTTTTTATCCTAAAACTCATCTGGGAAGTATTTCATCTGACCACAGCCTCAGGTATTCCTTTGCCACTAATTAGAGAAATACTGAATATTTCAATTATAAACTGCTTAATTATATTTGTCAGCCTGCTCTAAACCAATTAATTATTTACTTGTAAAAATCTTTGATGCAATGCTATCCAGAGGTTTCATTTCTGGAATACAGACTAGAAGCTGTATTTCCTATTCTACCCCAATTAAGGAAAAGATTTGAGTTAAATATATTGTGTGATACAATATGATTTACACTGTTATTGTAAGAAATGAGTCACATTCAGTGCATTTCAAGCATATACTGCTTCCTTCATTAAGTATTAAGGTCACTGTCATGTTTCTTCATAAAGGAAATTTCTATGATTTTTCTAATGTAGCCTCTTATAAAAATTTGCTTATAGAACTAGTGTTTAGAAATCAATTTTAGAATTTCTTACTTGCCACTCCCACCACAAATGAATATCTTTCTTGTATCAGAACACCACCTATTATGCCAGCATACCACTCACTTTCTTAACAACTGTGCATGAGACTTGAGTATAAAGAAGTAGAGAACTGCTAAAACTGTCACACAACCACCCACAACACCCACTGACTACTAGAACAGAGAAGTGAAACAAAGTCTAAAAACCACAAAACAAAATAGTATCTATCTATCCATCCACCCATCTGTCCATCCTTCCATCCATCCCCATCCATCTATCCATCCACAAGTTCCTACTATCACCAGGCCCATTCCTAGAAACTGAGCACAGCCTGGTGAGCAAAGTGAGATGGACCCTGTTCTCACGAGACCTTTTAAGTCTAACAGAAAACGCAATCAATAAATTAAGCATACAAATAACTACAGAATTACATTATTGAGTACTGTCAAAGATGGGTACTTCAAGGCCAGTTATACTATAAAACTGCAGGTCAAGGCAAAGGCTTGAGGAAGTGATTTGTAAATAACGAACCAAGGAATTATCTAAACAGATATACACTCAACCAAGACTGGAGAAGAACATCCTAGGTAGAAGCAACCACACACATGAATGCTCTGAAAAAAGAGTAAGGACTTTCAAGGAGTGCAAGGGTCCATACATTAGAGCGCAAGAGAAAAAGTCAGAGCTGGATCCTACAGTAAATATCTGCTGAGCAACCACTCTGCTCTGCCATTATAGGTAGTTGTGGTATGCTAATACACAAAACAGATCAAAATGCCTCCTTCAGTGAGTTCATTTTCTGTATCACAAAGGTTTGGTAAATACTGTAAACTGTTTAATCTTCATGGTTATTTTCTTTTTTCCCCTGCCTTTCTCCCCTCTCAAGATTGATAGAGAAATAAATTTGGCATGTGGGTGCTGAACATTAGGAAAAGAGTTTAAAAGCGTCTCAGTCCACAGGTGAGAAATGATGTACTTCATATTATATAGAAAAGGAATTGTGTAAAGAAATCAGATAGGCATTTAAGGGAAAAAAAAAAATGTAACCTGGATCTCTGCTGATACATAAATCTGAATCACATCACACTTTATGGTTGCTATACCAGATTGTTATAAGTTCCATAGGGTTTACAATATGACTTTCAATCTTTAAAGAGAGCCAAAGGACCTAAGAAACCTGACCTAGAATGTCTTATACCTCGATTAGGCAAAACCAGTACATATAACAAACAATACCATTATTCATGGCTTATAAAGCTGAGTAAAGAAGACAAAGGAATGGTTACTAATTTTTTACAGAAGAACCACCTGTGTGTCTTACTATAGTACATAAATTACCATAAGCTCACAGCTTACAGTAGCAAACAACTGATACCCTTTACTGAAAAACCTGCTAATCCACCTTTAAATTTTAGTCAGAAATTTTGACGATATTCCAAGGATATAATTAATGAATTCTGTAACAAGGCTACTACTCATTACTATACAAAATTCTGTTCTTCTAAATTATTTTACTGATTAAATTTACCTGCTTTTTCACTGTACTACCACACAAGGATTCAAGTAACTCTCATACCTGAAGGTTTAGATATACAATATTCTATTTATTGTACTCTCTTATAGAAAGTCTATTTTTATGTCTTATCTGGTAATAACTGCTTGTGAAATTTTGCTTCTGTGTATTTAGCTGTACTTTCTAAAAATTATAATTTAATAATTTATTGTTCTTTCATTTGCAAAAATATACTTTATTGGCGGTTGGCTGTTTGGGCTAATAGAAGTCCCTAAAACTGAAACTCTGATAACTAATTAAAAGTGACTCACTTTAACTGTGGGACTTAGTATAGTCAACTTGATAGCATTCCAGCTGATAAAAATACATAAATTACCTTCTAAGTGGTGTTTTTATAATTTAGAAAGCATTCTGGGCCCAGGGTGCTAGCTTGGCAGTCTAAGAACCTGCCTGGCAAGCACAGGGACTAGGTTCCATCCTGGGTACTGTGGCAGCCACTGAAACTGGGCATGGTAGCACATGCCTGTAATCCCAGTGCTAGGGAGGGTGAGACAGGAAGATCAGAACAAGTCTAAGCTGCACAGTGAGACCCTGTGCTGGAGGAAGGGAGGAAGGGAGGAAAGAGAGAGACAGAGACAGAGACAGAGACAGAGACAGAGAGAGAGAGAGAGAGAGAGAGAGAGAGAGAGAGAGAGAGAGGGGAGAAATAAGAAAGAGGAAAGAAAAGAGAGGAAGCCTGCCAGCCAAAGCAAAGCAAAGCAAACATTCTTGAAATGTCTTCATCTTATACATGAGGAAACTAGAGATACAAGTAACATGAGAGTACAAGGACTGATACCGAACCTACTCAAGAGCAAATTTCTTAATGACTGAATGTCTCAAATTAGAGAATCTGTGAGATGTTTACAATGAAATACAAACTGTTTAGCACCATTATGGGGAAGGAAAGATGTATCAAGGGCTTTCATCTGATTTTCAAAGTAGTTCTAGTATACAAAAGGGCCATTTAAGAAAACAAGAATTTTTGGCCCAGACATACTAAATTCAAAAATATCAGTTCTGGCAGGCAACATGGTGGTGCACAACTATAATCCCAGCACTCAGGACACTGAGGCAGGAGGATTGTCATGGGTTTGACGTCAGCATGGGCTACAAAGTGAGTACAAAGCTAGCCTAAACTACATTGTGAGACCCTGCCTTAAATCAAATAAAAATAAAAAATAAAAATACCAGTTCTGCCATTTACTAATAACATATTTTCAAAGCATCATGTTTATCTCTCAGAATTATTGTGAAGATTAATATAAACATATTAATATATATACAGTAGCATGCTTTTAAGAAAGTCTTTATAATTATACCTAACAGCTGGGATTATATTCCAGTATCCACGACGAGATTCAGACCATGTGCAAAAATAGAACCTTAATCTACAACATGAAGCTACTTGCCCAGGAAACCAATAGTTTTCAATAAACAACCAGGAAGCCATCCTGCTGTGTAAATCAGAGTTGCAGGAAGCCAAATTGATAGAGACAATCAGACTAAAATGTCCAAGTCTTAACTAATAACTGTCAGCTCTAACTTTTGCCTTGCTTCTATGAGGACCAATTAGAATAAACTAAATGTGTATTTCCAACCAATTGCTAGGATGCCTTGCTTCTAGTAAATCCATCTATCCTTTCCCAGGCCTACAGCCTCCCATCAGGACATACCTAAAGCCTTCTCTTTTTAAGTCTGCCAAAGTGACAGTGGCTGACTCCCTCATTATAGCAGTCTCTGAAGAAACAGCTTTTGCTTTGCTCATTTGATCTTGCTTATTTTCACTGTTCAGCTCTTCTTTCAATATGACAGAAGTTTACTTAAGACACATGGCCACTGGAACAAAGATCATATATGTAAGCACTTCTTGCAACTAAATAAACTCATGAGACTATATTCTGGCCAAATGAATGAGAATGAAAACATAGGAGCTTTGGGGGTAACCTCAAGACACATCAGCCAGGACATACTCATTTTTTCATCTCCTCAGCCTAGGGTGTCTTGAGCTGGAAATGGGTTTGTTCCTGGGATCTGACATATGCAAGTTACCGTATCAGCCTGAGACATTTATGTGACAGAGAACTAGTAGCTATAATAGTAGCAGTTACCATTTACATAGTTTTGTAATTTGTAGTCTTATTTTAAGTTTTAATAAATATTAATCATTACAGCAACTCTATGAAATAGATTCTATTATTATGACATTAAGAAAATGTGGCACAGAGAAGTAATTTGTCTATAGACACACAATTTTTAAGTTACTATTATTTTTGGAGTTTCTATTACTTGCAAACGAATATAAAGTCAAATAATATGCCCTTAGAAAACCAAATCTCAGGTAGCCAAGGTTTGATATTCAAGATCTCTTCTGATGAGTTCCTCCAGAAATAGGTCAAGCTACTCTACAATCAGAACTTGTTTCCCTAGCGTCCAGAGGCACAGACTCAAGAAAAGTCTGATGAGAAAAATCAAGTTGCAAAATGTAACCTTAGGTTACCAGTTCTTTTTTTTTTTTTTTTGCAGAACCAGGGATTGAACTCAGGCCCTTGCGCTTGCCGGAGGAAGAACTTATTCTACTGAGCCATTTCACTGGCTCCTAGGTTACCAGTCTTTTGGCCTATCTCCAAGTTGTTTTGGGAGTGTTTGGATAATTCCAGGGACCAGTATGACATCCACCAGGTAATCATCACTATCCCCTATCATTTATTTTGCATCAACCATTAGCTAAGCATGGCACTGGTATTTTTCATATGCCTATGTTTAGCAGACAGTTCCACAATATAAAAGGTAAAGCTTTGAAGACCAAAAACAAGCAAACAAACAAACAAACAAACAAACTTACCTTTATCATTCTGGATAGATCACCAGCATCTGCTAATTCCAAAACTATGTTTAGTTCATTATCTTCAATGAATGATGCATAATATTTAATTACATTTGGATGGTTGAGTTGCTGAGAAAAAAAAGATAGTTTTTTTCATTCCAAAAAATCACTTAGTTTTGTAATTTAAGAATAACTAAGCCCACTGCATTTCATTTGTGCATATCATAAATGTACACATGATAGATGATAATCCTTTAATTCAGTAAATTGGAAAATATATAAAACTAGATATGTTAACTTTAATATCTTTATTAAAGATAATAAATTAGATACTTAAGGTACTGTTTCTAATAAACGTTCAACAGATGTAATAAGTGAACTCGAGAATTAAATCACCAATTGCTAATAATTATATCCTTCAAAATAAGAACTTTTAAAGCATTCTGAAGTACAGCATCTCTTTCTACTCCTAGTATGAAGTTGAGTTCTACTGTAACTTTAGATGGTATATACAATAACTAGTACCACATCTAAATACTGCTTTTACACCAAATAATGTAAATACACAGACCAAATTATGTGTACTGATTCATAAAACCATCTCAGGAAGAATTTCACCTTATGAAAATATATGCATCAGTCTTTATACTTAGAATCCTTTTGTTCAATAATAATTATTAAACAAAATAATTCAAAATTGATGGGTGACATTCTTCTATCTAAAGTTTTTCCTTTATTTTTCTACAAGAATGCTATGCCTAGGGGCTGGGGAGACGGCTCAGTAGAATAAGTGCTTTCCTGGCAAGTGCAAGGGTCTGAGTTCAATCCCTGGTTCCGGGGGGGGAGGGGGGAAATGCTATGCCTATAATGAAGTATATAGTTATTTATGTGCCAGAGTAATTATAATCAACTCAAGAGTTGAAAAGTACAGTGTTGACCTTGTTCTGATCTTTTATGGATAAAGCTAATTTGTTTCAGGGGTTAACAAATGTATGACATAAAAACACACAACTTATCTGAAAATTTAAAATATAAGCCCTACTATTTCTTAAAAGAAAAAAAGTCATAGGTAACTGGAATCTTAGTCATATTATTAAATAGATGAGAAACTAAAAGGATGCACATTCTAAGTTTTTTTTTTTTTTGCGGAACCGGGCACTGAACTCAGAACCTTGGGCTGCCAGGGAAGCGCTTAACCTACTGAGCTATCTCCCTGGCTCAACATTCTAAGTCTTGAAAAATTAAGAAATATTATTTTAAAACATATGAACGAAGTGGATTTATCCACATTAATAATATAATAAATTTTGAGATTAACTAATATGCACTGTTCCTTAACCTTTTGAATATACCTTGTTGGGAAGGCCTAGAAAAAAATTCTTGAATTATTCCCATTTATCTGTTTCCTATTTTGAAAAAGCTAGTATTATCAAATGTTTTGATTCAATTATTTTACAATAATTTTTCATATATTGGCATTTGAATTTAGTGTTACTTAATATCAGGTTGATATAAAGTATGACTTGAAATCTTTTTACCTATAAATGTGATATTTTTAATAAGCCCCTTTATCAAATATAACTAAATATGTTGGTTAAGCCCAGAGTTTAATATTTACCTTGAGGAGATCTATTTCTTTAATGCAATCAGCACGTGCTTTGGCATCCATTAAATCAAATATCTAAAGACAAAATTCATGATTAGCAAAATAATAATATATATGAATATACATAATCACACATACACAGAAATATTGACACTTATAAGTATGTAAAATTACATATCAACTAAAAAATAACATGGTGGCACATGCCTGTTATTCCAGCCTTTGGGAGACTCAGGAAAGAAGATTACTGTGAGTTCAAGGCTGGCATAAACTACATAACAAAACATGGCCTCAAAAAACCGAACAAATACTTAATTTTTTTAAATGAGTGTGGAGGTATTAAATTTCAAAAAAAAAAAAAGTAAAAGGTATAAACTCACTATATTAAAATTTTTAGCTTTTAGTGGGCTGCATCCATGGTGCATCCATATAATGTACAAATACATGAGGTTTTTGCACAATAAGAACAGTAGCAGTACGTATAATGGGTATAGGATTTTGCTCCAAATATCATAGCAAAAAATAGTTTTCATATTTCTACATAGTCTTCACATATTTTGGTTTTTAATTTCTAGTTAACACTTCCAGAATCAATTTTACTTTTTTATTTTTTTCTGTATTTTAGGGAAGGGCCTACAGGGTGTTCAGGGTCTCACTACTAGATAGGACTCATAGTGATAATCCCGTTTTTTACTTTATTTTATTTTCATTATTTTATTTTTAAAGATATAAAATAGTGATAGAAAAAAACGGCATTAGAAACAATACAAGATTTCACTAAACAAAGTGGTACAAATTCATAGTCCTCGTTTTAAAATTATTTTTAGATGATATAAAAATTATATATTTTAATGGTATATAATCCATTTGATAAGCTTATACATTGTATAATCTTTCAATAAGTTATATATATTTATTTCCCTGGTCATTTTTCTTTTTCTTTTTCTGGGGGACAACATCTCACTATGTACTTCAGCCTGACCTCCAGCTCATGGTGATCCTACTATTTCCCCCTCCAGAGTGCTTGGATTATGGTCATTTACCATTTCTTCCAGTCACAGTCTTCTTTAAATTTGCTCAAATAGTTTAAAATAGGCAAATTTCCCTTAGAAGTTGCAGTAGTGGAAGTTTTTCTTTTCTCCTTTATTTTCATTTCTTTTTATTTTTTATTTTTTAATAAATTTATTGAGAAACAAATAGCAATGAGACAATTTCAAAACTGATTAGTAGGACAGTTTCAATAATTAATTTATTTTATTTAGAAACATATCAATGAGACAGTTTCAAAGCTGATTAACAGGACATTTTCAATAATTAATACCTTGTACACTGTTATCTTCTTAGTGGTTATCCATAGTACAAGAAGCAGACACGATATCCTGTCCAAACACTATTACTACAAATCTTTCCTCTCATTGAGTGAAGCGAAAGTAGCTGTATATCTATCCCGACTATTCTGTATATACAAATACAAAATGGTCCTTCCTTTGTATCCCTTTTTTTGGTTTGTTTGTCTAGTCTTGTCAGAGATGGGTTTTCTATTGGCATCTAAATACTATAGGTGCTTGAATTCAGCAAAACAATCCAACACAGTCCAGCAGTCCACAACAGTAGTAAGTTATCTGCAGAAGTTGTTGACTTGGGCCTTTTAGAGCTCCGCATATTAATATGGCTTTACTTTATATACGTTTTTATACTTTTCTGATGGATGGTTAAGAACAAGATAAAGCAAGACCTGTATAACAAGAAATGTAACTTTTGTATTTGATAAGGTCAGTCAAGTCCCTTTATCCTGTAACCCTGTACTGCACTTTGTAGATCCTTTGTCAGTATCAGCCATATGGATGAGTCACAGCCATTGCTTGACTAATTTGCTCTCTGAGAAAGCCTGAGAGAATGTTTTCTCTCCACGTGACTCTCCTTAGGCACATTATACATCATCGATCACTTTCCTCTGTGGCTCCATAATCTCCTTGATCAGAAATCTGGGGTACAACTGAGTTACATGATGTTACAGTACAGGTTCTTCTATATACTCAGTTTTCACTGACCTTGAAAGGGTATGGCCAAAATGTTGACTGACCTTGCAGCCCTTCCTTTTCTCCAATTTTTGATCTGCAAACAGGTTGCTAACCCTCCAGAAGAGAAGCTTATAATTATTACCCTACAACACAGGCAGTTGAGCTTAACCTCACTATCTGAATACCAAACATCTTAGACATAACATGGAACAGTTATTTTCGATCAAGTATTGATATGTTAAACTTTAAGTCCCTACAGAATATGAAGAAAAAGAAAATTAAATGTTAAAAAATATTTAGAAAAATAGGAATAAACAATTACATATTTTTTCACAGAAATTTAGAAATCTACCCATATATAGCACGGAGAATCCCAAGTGCTGGGATTACAGGTACATACCACCAAGCCCAGTCTCAATTGCTGTCTCAGTGCACCCCAGGGGGCAGGGCTGACACAACAGGCCCAGGGATCAAACCCAGGCCCCTGCGCCTACTTGCAAAGAATCAGTTTTATACTTTATCAGTTTTAATGTGAAACAGTTGAGTACAGCATATTGCTCTTTGAAAAAAATTAGATGCTATCAAATTTTCTCCCATTTAATCAAGTAGTAGGATGAAAAATATGTGTGCTGGTACATGTATTAAAAATAGTAACTTTTCTCCACTGCCTATTAAACCTCATAAGATATTAGACTTGTGCTAACTACTATAATTTTAGGAATACAGCACACTGGGACAGTAAAACAGAACACAAAGGAAAGAGAGAAAAGGACTACTGTAAATCATTCCGCTTAAAATATCTAGG